ACCCAGCCTCCCCTCCCCCATCAAGTTTTGCTGCCCTGTTCAGTTCCTTTTTTTCCTTTTTTGCTCAAGTTTTGCTGCTATTTGGGGTGGGGGAGTGAGGGTTTTTCAAAAAATCAAAAAGGGGGGCATGATGCCCAAAAGTTTGGGAACCCCTGCTCTAGATGGTCCTGCCATGAGTTCAGAGGATTGGATTTGATGACCTCTTGAGATTCCTTCCAGTCCTATGACTCAATGATATAGAAGTGCTTTTTAAGGAGGATTCAGGGTATGGGCTGAGCAAGTTTAGAGGAGGAGCCTTGGGAGCTGCCAGCTTTGGAGAGAGGATGGGGCTAGATAGAATGGTTAATTTCAAGTTCCTCTTAGAAATAAAAACAAATCCCAGATGTCGATAAGATATGATCCACCAAACCTTATGTGGACTGTATTTGAAACACAGGGTATGTCTACACTACCCCGCTAGTTCGAACTAGCGGGGTAGTGTAGACATACCCTGTGTTTCAAATACAGTCCACATAAGGTTTGGTGGATCATATCTTATCGACATCTGGGATTTGTTTTTATTTCTAAGAGGAACTTGAAATTAACCATTCTATCTAGCCCCATCCTCTCTCCAAAGCTGGCAGCTCCCAAGGCTCCTCCTCTAAACTTGCTCAGCCCATACCCTGAATCCTCCTTAAAAAGCACTTCTATATCATTGAGTCATAGGACTGGAAGGAATCTCAAGAGGTCATCAAATCCAATCCTCTGAACTCATGGCAGGACCATCTAGAGCAGGGGTTCCCAAACTTTTGGGCATCATGCCCCCCTTTTTGATTTTTTGAAAAACCCTCACTCCCCCACCCCAAATAGCAGCAAAACTTGAGCAAAAAAGGAAAACCCCGCTTATGCAAATGAAGCCCGGGAAATTCAAATCCCGGGCTTCATTTGCAATTGCGGTATGCCTACATTACCCTCCTATTTTGAAATAGGAGGGTAGTGTAGACATACCCACAGTGGGAAAGCCAGCAGCTTGCAGATGTATTTCAGTTAAGTGAATCTAGAATTGTTTCAGTCTGATTCATCCTCTCAGAATATGTTTTACCAGCCCTTCTAGTAGATTCTGAAGGAATTTACACAATAGCGTTTTCTTTCAACCAACCATTATCTCAAAGAAAATAATTGTTTTCTTTCCCATTCTTTTCATCAAAAGTTACTTATACACACTGGATTCCCTGTAAAATGTAGTCCCCTACAGCTGGCCTATAGAAAATCCAAAGAAACTGATTGTGTCTTTGATGAAAGATGACTGTTGTGTATACACGTATGTGATGTAAAAGCAACTGGATTAATGCTATCTTTGAGAAAACTGCAAGCTCTGCCTTATAATTTAATTCCTTTTAGATGCTTGATTATGACATTTGTTTCTTCTGCTGAAATGTTTGTGGGCAATGAGCTTGCCCAATACAAGGCACTGAGAAGTTTTATAAGATTGCATACTTGTTAATGCTCACTGGGCTGATAGTCCATGTATGCTAACATAAAGTTAGAATTCCCATGTGTTGTCATGCAGTCATTATGATCAATCAGCCAGCCATCGTCTGATAGCCTTAGCAACTTTAAAAACCACATATTTCTTAACACTATTTCACAGATCCTTCGCTTTCAAAATCTCTGCATCTGAAAGTGTAGATTATATGCCGTTACGTGCTGAGTTTCTAATGTGCCGGGGGAGGGTTCCCTTTTGGCTCCGCCTCAGGCCCTGCCCCCATTCTATCCCTTCCCTCAAGGCTCCGCCCCACCCTGCCTCTTCCTATCTCTGCTCCACTCCTGCCCTGCCTCTTTCCATCTCATTCCACCCCCTCCCCGCACACTTCCTGCACATCGTGGAAGGGCAGATTGTGGCAGGCAGGAGGGCCTGTAGGGGAGGGAGAGGTACTATTCGGCAGGGTTGCTGTTGGGTGGTAGGGTCTGAAGGAAGGGGGAGGTAAGCACTTTTTTTTTTTTGCACTCATAGAGTAGACACCTATGTTTCCTGCTCACATATACTTTCTCCTGCTCAGCAACATTATTTTTCCACTTCCCCTTTTCTCTTTGGGAAACTCGAAACAGTTTGCACCAAACACATACTGTGGAACTCTTCCCTCACAAGAGCAGATGAAGGCCTGTAAAAAAAGGCAGAAAACAAACTTGGTCTTCAAAATTTGGCTCTTCAGAGTAAAGTAAAACTAAGTCTGGAGGCAGATGATAAACACAAACCCCAGTGAAAGGAGTGATTAATTAGGAATAATACCATGCAGAGCAAAAACACGGTTTGCATTTCACTGGCTGAGTTAGAAATCAAGCACGACCTCAAGTAATGTCTAATGGCATTTGCATTCACCACTGAGAATCTTTGTAGAATAGTTCTATTAGGCTTCAGTGGCTGTAATTACACAAGAGCTTTGCACGTATTACTCCATTCCAACCAAAGCACCTGGAAATGCTGGAGCATGGAGAGGAATCTTAGGAACCCGAGCTGTATAATTGAAGCTCATACAAGTTTTGCATCTGAAGCAGCTATAAAATATAATCATATTCAAGGCCATTCCACACACAAGGCCTCGAGCACATCTTGATCGTAACAGTACATAAGGCAGAGTGAAGAAGGAAAAGGGATTTGTATTGATTTTTTTGACACCTCTTCTTTGGCTATTGTTAGCAGCTGCAGAAGGGCTGACTTCATGGCATGAGTACACCTTAGTTTTCATTAGAAAACTTTTAAGTGACTGGTGGAGGGAACCTGGGACTTGACAGTATGTCTCAAGGCAATCCCAGCTACACCCAGTTGCAAAATTTTTTTACTTGTTTATAACCAGCTACGACAGCTCTCTTCACTCACGTTCCAAGAGTGGGCCACATGAGTGGCGTCCTTCATCTCAGTGGGCTGCAAGATTGTCATAACCAAGATGGTCTCCCACGTTCGGGTATACCAAATTAGGGTATCTTTGCTAACTGCACTTATGTACCCAGAATTTGCAGGGTGAGTGGATTGCACTGTAGCAGCACTTTGATTGGATGCAGAGGGTGCACCTGGCTCTCACAGTCACTGTTGTGTGCAACAGTAGTGGATGTGCTGCTGATGCATGAGCTAGCAGTAGAGTGAGGATGCAGCTACTCATTATGAGCAACCAGCCCATTGAAAGTGTGTCAAATCTTCCTCTATGGACTGTTCACATCCTAGCAATCACTCCTGTAGTTCAGTAGTCTGAGTCTTGAAGTCCAGGGTTGGACCCTGTTAATAGGCCTCAGTGGGGATGCTATGGTTGTATGTACTAGTATTTGCTTTGGTTTATTTAATCCACAAAGACATTTTTTAACCTAAACCCCCCCCACTATAATCTGTGTATTATGGTGTGATGCACCAAAATAGAGTAATTTCACATGTTTGTCATACAATGGTGGTCAGAAGCTAGACTTCACTTGGGCAGACAGTAACAACCCAAATAATATCAATCCAGCTTCATTGAGTTTGCACTGTAACACCAAATCTCAGTGACAACCTAAGCATTTTTAAGGCAGGATAACTTTCCAAATGCCCAGGAAACCTGAGCATTAGACTGGCTGATCTGTTGATGCAAGAGTGTTTGAGGTCACTATTAAGGGTTTGTGTAACCACCAACTCAGCAGATTTGAACCTGGGACTGCTGGGCTATGTCTACGCTGGCGGGTTCTTGCACAAGAACATCTTGCACAAGAACACGTTCACATGGTCATGTGCTTTTGCACAAGAACATCTGTGGCAGTGTGGATTGTTTTCTAAGGTGTAAGCTCTCTTGCACAGGAACTTTCTTTCTTGTACAAGAAACCAGTTGTGCGTCCACATTGCCTTCTTGCGCAGGAGCTCTTGCGCAAGAAAGCAATGTGGACGCACAACTGGTTTCTTGTACAAGAAAGAAAGTTCCTGTGCAAGAGAGCTTACACCTTAGAAAACAGCATAGCTCTTGTGCAAGACGCCCTCTCTTCCGACGCTGTACTGTAAATCTTTTTGCACAAGAGTGGGCGGGCAGCATGGACACTCTGCAGAAGAATGACTGTTCTTACGCAAGAACCCGCCAGTGTAGACATAGCCCTGAAGCTTAGTGTAGGAGCCTCTACACACCTTGAGCTATAAAGTTAGGTGGCTCTCAAACTAGGCAGTAGAGCTCCCTTCTTCTTCTCTCTCGCTGTAGGTTGTCTAAGTGCCACTCTATGGGACAGTGCACCACACTAGGGCTACATCTACATTGCAGGCTTCTTGCACAAGAACTGTTTTGTGCAAAAGGTCTTGCGCAAAAGCGTGTCCACACTGCCATGTGCTTTTGCACAAGAGCGCCCATGGCAGTGTGGATGCTCTCTTGCACGAGAAAGCTCTGGGGGCCATTTTAGCCAGAGGGGTTTCTTGTGCAAGAAACCCCTGTTGCCCGTCCACACTGCCTTCTTGCACAAGAGCTCTTGCACAAGAGGGCTTATTCCTGGTGGGGAGAGGAATAACTCTTGTGCAAGAAGCCCTGTTTTCCGACGCTTTCCTGTAAATTTACTTGTGCAAGAACACACGTGCAGTGTAGACGCTCTGAGCACCTTGAGGCAGGTCACTGCAGGGGGGAGGGGGCTCCCCTGCTCTGCTGCCCGCTCCCCCCCCCCAAGAGGGGCCTGCTGCGAGTGCAGCGGGCAAGGCCCTGCCCTGCTGCAGCCCCTCTTCCGAGCCAGCTCCCCCACGCGCATGTGCGGCCTCCCGAGTTCCAGTTCTACCCGCAGCCGGCTTCGAAATGATCTGTACGCATGCGCGGGCCGCCGCCCTGGTGCGCCAAAGGCATTCTACGCACGCGCGAGTTTCCTATGTTCTCCCCCCTCACCCCGCTCTATCCCCGCCAGCGGTCAGGGAGCATTGCGCATGCGCGGGTTCTCTCTCCTTCTCTCCCCCCCCCCTCATTCTCTTTCTCTCGCGCGCGCGTCCTCTCTCTCTCTCCGCAATGGGCGCCTGCGCGGGAATCTCAGCCTACTCCGGGACCAGTCCGCCGCGGCCGCGCCTCGCAGCTCTCGCGCGCCAATCAGGCGCCGGTGGGCCCGACGTGACGTCCTGGCGCCCGCGCGTGCGTGCGTGCGGCGCAGCGTCCCCTGCCCCGAATGAAAGGGAAGGTCCCAGCGAGCGAGCGGCTGTGAGCGCCCGGCGGCCCCCGAAGTCCGCGTTCCCCGGCGCCCCGCCCCCCGGGTGAGTGAGCGCGCGGCCCCTGAGGAGAGACCCCTCCCCCCGCGGCGAGCGCCCCTGCAGCTGCGGGGCCGCCGGGGCTCAGGCCGCGCTCGCGCCCTTGTGAGGGGACTGTGAGCTGGCGGCGTTAGGCTGCCCCGCCCCCTGCCTTGGGGGGCGCCCCAGGGGGCGGCGTCTCTTGAACCCGCTTGAGGGCCCCCCCCGGGGCGCTGCCTCAGCCGTGGGGGCCGCCCGGCTTCGCTGCCTTCCCCCTCGAGCTGTTCAAGGCAGCCCCCCCCCCCAGGGCTTCCCCAGCCTCCACAGCCCTCCTGGGGGAGCCCCGCAAACCTGCCTGGAGACCTTCCCCAGGCTCGTTCCCCGCCTCGGGGGCCTCTGTCGGTGGAGGGGCGAGGAAAACCCGGAACTATGCCTCCAGCTCGCGATTTTCATATGGCTGATGGTGCTGGGTGCTCATTGCTCATCCCAAGACTAACGGTACCTGATTGCAGAGTACCCCTCCTCTGCCGCGTTCTGAACATTAGGCCCCCTTAAACTTTTCCACAGTGAGTACCCACGATCACCAACCCGTTCCTTGTAAAAATACTTGCCTGTTTTTTGGTCGTCGTTTTTCATCCGAAAGTATCCCAAATCACTTTGGTAACCAGCTTAAATAAAAAAAATGTCTGTAGGCATGTTTCTCTTGCGCTGTTCCCAGATGTCTCAAATTCTGTTCCAAGTTGAAAACAAACAAACAAAAAAACCCAACCCGATCAATCCTGTGCTTGCATGACCCGTTTAGTCATGAAGAATCTAGAGTTTTAATATAAAAGTTAAACTTTGGAGGACCTTGCATTTAAACTGGAATCCAGTGTTGTAGATAAATGGCGAGCTTGGGCTTGACTTTTGCTAATAAATAGAGCATGAAGAAAAACTCTTGAATTTCCTTTCTTAACACTCATGTAAATGGGATCCACATTCCTCTCCCTCCCTCAGTCCCAAGTAATGTTTTTAGTTACTGAGAAAGTGCCATCCTTGTTTTTACCTGAGAGAGAGTGAGTATTGGAGAGAAGGCAGGTGAGGAAGGAATATCTTTTATTGGACCAACTTTTTCTGGTAAGAGTGAGACAAGCTTTTAGGCTCCACAGGGCTCTTCCTTACCTCTAGGAAAGCTACTTTGTTGCAGCTAAATGAAAGATTGAACAGCTAGGTTAGTATAAGTTACTAGCACATATTCGAAGAGACCATTCAAGGTGAAGAGGCATGTTAATACTCTGGACATAGGACAAAGGAGATGCTAGTGGGTTATAGATTGTTGTAATAAGTAGTAAATCAAGGTCTTTAAGACGATGATTTTTAGTATCTAGCAAAGTTATGAATTCAAGCTCCCAAACTCATCTTTTGAAAGGTTTCATCTGAGGATGCGGAGTATGCCTGTTTGCTGTGCATTTAGAATTAGTCCTGTAGAAGATGTAAATAAATATAGAGTGCAGGGCTTAACATAGTTTGTGGAAAACTCTAAAGGCTATCAAGAAGGAAAAGATGACCTCAAATACTGTTTAATAGGCATCAATTAAACTGCACAGATGAACAAATTCTGGAGAGAGAATTACAAAAAGAATCTGCATCTGAGAATCTCTTGTAGTAGCTTTCATTTTATAAGAGATTTTATTGTGGAATTGGGTGCCCCTTTAGGCAGGGTCTTGGAAAATATTGGCATGACTTTAATATTATATTTTCAGTGTAGCTTAATTAAAAAACAAGTATACCCATCTATGTACTTTAAATTGATTGCTAGTACTGGAATAGATAGTTGTTTCCATGTTAAAGTTTCAGTGATATACCTCTGTTTTCAAGGTTTATAGCAAAAAGTGTAATTCTTGCTTTGACTGAAACTTTGCTAGTAAATTTTCAGTCCAAGGTATAGGTACATACCACATTTATTGGGGGAGGAGGGAAAGCCCAGTTTATAGCTTTTTTAAAAGTGGTTTAGAAGGATATTTTGCTGATTTTTTTTTAATTGTGCCTGTTTTGGTGTTCAGACAAAAAGTAGTGGTGCTTAATCAGTAATTTGAACTAACATTATTAAACTATTATCTATAAGAAATTAAATTGCAAGATTTTAAATGTTCATATTCAGGATTATGTATTTGTAATGTGGCAGGGCAGTTGGTTCTAACTGCTTTCAGAAAATGTAAATGAGCTAAAATAGAGCTAAAAATAAAGGTTTACACTTTTCTGAAACACTGCCAGATACATTTCTGATTTGTAAGTAGGGATGTTAAATAACAGTTAATTGAGTTGTTGATTAACCTCATTAATTCTTATCAGTTACTCAACTATTCTGTAATGCTCAGGAGATGAGGCTGGCAGTCTGTGAGCTCTGGCCTCATTCTGAGGTGCCCCCTGCCACTCCATGCTGCTGCCTCTGTATCAAAGGCAGCAGTGCCAGGTGGTAGGTGGGAACTGGTCCGCATCTGGAGCCAGTTTGAAAAAACAGTTCCCCTCGTGGACCAGCTGCCTGTTGCCCCTCTGTATGAGAGGCAACAGTGATACACAGGCAGCAGTGTGTGTGTGTGTGTGGGGGGGGGGGGGTCTGAGCTCCCGGACCTGGTATGAGTTGGAACTGAGCTGGGTTGTGTGCCTGCCTGGCTCCTGATACACTTTAAATGCAGAGTTGCAGCAGGGGTAGGTCCCAGAATAGGGATGTAATAGTGTAGTCGATTAATGGATTATCTAATAAGCACAAGCTTATAGGTTATTGCTATAGACTATGTGCATTTCTCTCCCTCTGCCCCCGGACAGGATGAACTAGTTTTGAACTGGCTCTCCTCACAGACCAGCTCCCATCTGGCACCCCGTGTGGAGTGCAAGGGCACTCCTCAGAAGTGGGGCCAGAGTGCATTGGCTGCTAGCCCTGCTGCCCAGGGACTATAGAATAGTCGACTAACCAATAAGAATTCATGAGGTTACTTAAGTCAATTAACTGATATTTAACATCCCTATCCTGGACCCAGCACAAGCCAGGACTGAGTTGGGCTGCTGAACAGCCTGCTAAAAAAATTTACATGGGGGGATAGAATGTGGGTAGTCTATTGCATTAACTTATAAACTCTTGCTGATCAGTTAATCAACTACACTATTACATCCCTATTTGCAAGTAATCTGTTGAAAATATAAACCCAGCAATATTTCTCAAAATAGCTTGCTCAATCTTAATCTAAGTTAATATACATTCACTGTAAGCCATGGGTGTTTCTGATAAGAATTTTTGCAAAAAAATACACCGTGAAAAGGATGCTGTGTGCACCCTATTTTATGAAGGGATTGGCATGTGCTGTAACAAAATGTAAATATACATCATGTGTGAACAGATGTAACTTGGTCAGTAGTGTGGATAAAATACTTCTGGTATTAATCTATGTCTTCTGCAAGTCCTAAAAATGTATAAATAATGTACAAAGAAATGCCTTTGTATACAGAAAACACATGCAAAGAGAGCAGAAAATTAGAGCATTTTTAGGGAACTTTTAAAATACTTTCGGAATAATAAAAATTATATTTTGATAGGAATGTGTTTCCTTTTTGGCCTAATTTTTATTTTTTGCTGTACTTGCATTTTTAAAATATTTTAATAATCACACCACTAAAACACAATTTCAGCTGGTTAGTTGCATGTTTTCATTGTTATGCCAATGGAGACCTATTCATTAGCGCACATATTATCATCGTTTTCTAAGTTATAAAAAATACAAAATGACTTTGAGGGAGGTCATATAAACAATGGCACATAGCCTACTAACAGTGTACCTTGTTATGTGTGTCTTAGACGCACTGTATGGCATAAGGCCGAAGACCAGATAACTTGAACCTTCTGTGAAGTAGCAAAATATTCAAGTGAGCAATAAATTTTACTTCGTGGTTGTTATGAATTATTCCAATTTTCCAAAATGTTAGTTTGTCATTCAGATTGAGATTAAAGGGGAGCCTTTTTACAAAGCAGTAGGAGTGACTAGTTTATTTAAAACCACATTCTCCTGTTTAAGCCCATGAGACTTGTGCACACACATTCATGGACATAAGTTAACTTTAAATTTCTTCAGTTACTTTTATGAGGACTGTCATTGCTGCTGCTACATGAATTTAATGAATAAGAAGATAAAGTAATAAAAAATTAAATGCAGTGTAAAATAAAAAGCCAGATTAAAGCTAACCAAAAGTGAATGCACTTACCCTCATGTATGTGTGTGTATATACATTTGCTATAATATTAATTATATCAAAACAGGTTATTCTTGCATTTACATTTTGTTGCATTATCTCCAACCCATTATGGCATCATTTATTTAAAGCTTTTGAATGTGACCCAAGAACAAAAATTCTTGTTTAATATAGTTTCCTACTATTCTTCCGAAGTCCCTGTTCCTGCTTTCAAAATCTCATTTAGATTTTTAAAGAATTAAAGAACATCGTGAAAGTCTTTCCTTCCTTCACAAGCCAGTTTAATAAGTGGAGTGCAGACTTACCTTATTTTGGTAGAATTTTAGAAAATTACAGTAAATTCTTTTTGTATTTAACATTTAAGAGCTCTCTGCAACTGCAAAAGGGTATAACTAATTTATTCACATTGGCACTTATTTGTTTGTAAATCAGCTCATTCTAGGTTACTTAAACAGAAATTAAAAGGCACAGTGACAAAAGTAAAATACGGACACCATAATGAAGGCCCAACTTAAATGTATACCACAAATTTTAAAAATGCAATAAGAGAACCAAAAAAGTGCCACCATGGCTTAACAACCAAGTAAAAGAAGAGAGTGATGGCTACCATGGCTTAACAACCAAGTAAAAGAAGCGAGTGATAAAGACATCTTTTAAAAAGTGAAAGTCAAATCCTAGTGAGGAAAATAGAAAAGAGCATAAACTCTGTCAAAGTAAGTGTAAAAATATAATAAGAAAAGCCAAAAAGGAGTATGAAGAACAGCTAGCCAAATCTCAAAAATTGATAGCAAAATGTTTAAGTACATCAGAAGTGGGAAGCCTGCTAAACAGCCTGTGGGGTCCTTGCATGATTGAGATGCTAAAGTAGCACTCAAAGATGATAATGTCATTTCAGAGAAACTAAATGAATTCTGTGCTTTGGTCTTCATGGTTGAGGATGTTAGGGAGATTCCCAAATCTGAGCTATTCTTTTTAGGTGACAAATCTGAGGAATTGTCCCTGATTGAGGTGTCATTAGAGGAGGTTTTGGAACAAATTGATAAACTTAACAGTAACAAGTCACTGGGACAAGATGGCATTCCCCAAGAGTTCTGAAAGAGCTCAAATGTGAAATTGCAGAACTATTCACTGTGGTTTGTAACCTATCCTTTAAATCAGCTTCTGTACCTGATGACTGCAAGATAGCTAATGTGATGCCAATATTTAAAAGGGGCTCTAGAGGTGATCCTGGCAATTACAGATGAACAAGTTTAATGTCAGTACCGAGCAAATTAGTTGAAACTATTGTAAAGAAGAGAGAGTTACTCATCTTGTGCAGTAACGTCTGTTCTTTGAGATGTGTGAGTTCTTTGAGGGTGTTAAACATGTGGACAAAGGAGATCCAGTGGACATAATGTACTTAGATTTCCGGAAAGCCTTTGACAAGGTCCATCACCAAATGCTCTGAAGTAAATTGTCATGGGATAAGAGGGAAGGGCCTCTCATGGATTGATAACTGGTAAAAAGACAGGAAACAAAGGGTAGCAATAAGTGGCAAGTTTTCAGAATGGAGAGAGGTAACAAGTGGTGTCCCCCAAGGGTCTGTCCTGGGACCAGTCCTATTCAACTTACTTGAATCTGGGGAAAGGTGTAAACAGTGAAGTGGCAAATTTGCAGATGATACTAAACTGCTCAGGATAATTCTGAGCAACGCAGACTGTGAAGATCTTCAAAAAGATCTCCCCAAACTAAGTGATTGGGCAACAAAATGGCAAATGAAATTTAATGTTGATAAATGTAAAGTAATGCATATTAGAAAAAAAACAGTCCCAACTATACATACAATATGGTGGGGACTAATTTGGCTACAACTACTCGAGGGAGAGAGATCTTGGAGTCATTGTGTATTGTTCTCTGAAAACTTCTGCTCTCTGTGCAGCGACAGTCAAAAAAGCAAACAGAATGTTAGGAATCATTAAAAATGGGATAGAAAATAAGACAAAGTATCTTATTGCTTCTGTATAAATCTGTAGCATGCCCATATCTTGAATACAGCTTCGTACAGCTGTGGTCACCTCATCTCACAAAAAATGTATCGGCATTGGAAAAGGTTCATAAAAGGGTAACAAAAATGATTAGGGGTTTAGAATGGGTTTCCTATGAAGAGAGATTAAAAAGACTGGGACTTTTCATCTTAGAAAAGAGGACACTAAGGGGTTATGATAGCGGTCTATAAAATCATCTTAGAAAAGAGGACACTAAGGGGGTTATGATAGAGGTTTATAAAATCATGACTGGTGTAGAAAAAATGAAGAAGGAAAAGTTATTTATTCTGATAATATAAGAACTAGGGGTCACCTCATGAAATTAATAGGTAGTAGGTTTAAAACAAACAAAGAAGTTTTCTTCACTCAGCGCATAGTCAGCTTGTGGAACTTCTTGCCGGAGGATGTTGTGAAAACCAGGACTTCAACAGGGTTCAAAAAAGAACTAGATAAATTGATGGAGGTTAGGTCCATCAATGGCTATTAGCCAGGATGGGTAGAAATGGCGTCCCCAGCCTCTCTTTGTCATAGGCTAGAAATGGAATGACAAGAGAGGGATCACGTGATGATTCCCTGTTCTGTTATTTCCCTCTGGGGCATTGGCCACTTTCAGAGGACAGGATGCTGGGCTAGTTGGAACTTTGGTCTCACCCAGTATGGCCGTTTTTATGTTTATTTTTCTTTTAAAGATAAAGATGGTAAAGTGGTAAAGATGAATGGACATTAACCTCAACTTTAAAATAGGTCCAAAAAGTTTGTATCCTTGAATACGTGCTCTTTTAGGGCCCAAATTTTCCGTTAGATCCACATAAGCAGATTACTAAAGAAGCCTTGTTGGACGGGATCTACCTGTGTAAATCTCATTGCTGAATTTGGGCCTTAGTTTTGTATTTTTAATTATGTTGCTTGTAAATTATTGGAGCTACGTCTACACTGCAGGCTTTTTGCGCAAGAACAGCTGTTCTTGTGCAAAAACCTTCCGGCTGTCTACATTGCACGCGCATTCTCGCGCAAGTAAATTTACAATATAGCATCAGAAAACAAGGCTTCTTCCGGAATAGTTAATCCTCTCCCCACGAGGAATAAGCCCTCTTGAAGAAGTGTTCTTGCGCAAGAGGCCAGTGTAGACAGGCAACATGAATTTCTTGCGCAAGAAGCCTCTATGGTTAAAATGGCCAGCATAGTTTTCTGGCGGAAGGGAGCGTCCACACTGCCATGGATGCTCTTGCGCAAAAGCACATGGCAGTGTAGACGCGCTCTTGTGGACGTTTTTTTGCACAAGAACTCTTCCACAAAAGAGTTCTTGCGCAAGAAGCTGCCAGTGTAGACGTAGCCAAACAGTATATAATTTATGTGGAGTTGAATTTTAAATTATTTTTTGTAGGATAAGAACAGCTGTTGTCGTGCACATATTAAGAATTCAATTAAGGTTGTGAAATACAACTATGAGTCTTAAAGCGTTTTTATGGCATCATAAACAAATATTCACCTCTAAAACTTTCTTGACTTTAACTAGCCACAATGTATCTATGTAATACTTAAAATGGTAACTTTTTATCTTCTCATCTCATAAAGGCTGTTACCATCTTCAGCTTTAGAAATGAGTATTTAAATCCAGTACTTGTTAGCTTTTATGGATTGTAGCCCAGTGTTTTATTGCTACTTCTTAAGGAGTTCAGTAGAATGGTTTTTATTGTATGTGGAGGTAAAGCTCTCCCTATGCAGTGTGCTTCTGGAATAAATAAAAAGAAAAAAATGGAATGAGACACAGTATTGCATCAGAATTTCCCTAAGAGCCCCAATGATTGCTGTTGCACCTGGTATTTTTTCATTCTCCCTTTCCTCACCTCTAAGCTTTTAAATTTGTATACATTTTCTAATGTCTTCGACTTTGGGGACAATTATATGGCTTGTTGCCACATCTTTTATAAATATTTTGGGAAATACAGCTTTTGCGATATAAATGTTTACTCATATCCTACTATAGCTGTGTGTATAAAAAATTATATTTCACTCTGAGACATAGTGATAATTCTGCTATTTGAAGAGAAACAGAAAGTAACCTTACTTAATATAGAAACAACAAGCATTCCTGTGGCTCCTTAGAGACTAACACATTTATTAGGCCATGAGCTTTCATGGGTTAAACCCACTTCGTCAGATGAGTTGAGTGTTACTTACAAAAGCTCATGACCTAATAAATGTGTTAGTCTTTAAGGTGCCACAGGAATGCTTGTTGTTTTTACAGATACAGACTAACACAGCTACCCCTCTGAGTTTTAGTAAATATAATTTAAATTGATTTGTTGAAATTAACTATTGAACATTTTTATTCTCTGTAGTATTTGTGAGGATTGAAGTCTCATTCGAAAGCCATTTTAAAAATCATGACAAGCTCAGTTGGACAGAAAAAAGGGTCTTCAAGACAACGGAAGTGTGGTTTTTGTAGATCTAATAAAGATAATGAATGTGGACAGTTGTTAATGTCTGAAAACCAGAAGGTGGCAGCACATCACAAATGTATGGTAAGTAACAGAGAAAAAGGAATTCAATATATTGACCTGTTAAATACGTTATATAGAGAAACAAAATTCTGACTAATTTCTGCCAACTTGTGACAGTAGTATATAAGTTACTAAAATTACTGTTTCTTTTTATTTTGAATTTGCTCCTTTTCACAAGTATAATTATTTCATATTACTGGAAACCCTTAACATTTAAGTTTTATTTTTTACATAACTTACAGCTGTTTTCATCTGCTTTGGTATCTTCACACACTGATAATGAGAGTCTTGGTGGATTTTCTATTGAAGATGTTCAAAAAGAAATAAAAAGAGGCACTAAACTGGTAAGTATGTAATTCTGCCTCTTGAAAATGGAAAAGTAGCATTGTCTTAACTCCTACAAAGTAATGAAATAATTCAATATACCACTAAAGTTATCTATTGTATCAAAGGTTTTTTTTGTTTGTTTGTTTTCTCTTTGCCCTGTGAACTTGTGTAATGGATAATTAATCAATGGAAGGAGATAAAACTGGTTACAATTTTTTTTTTAAAAGAAGGTAAATCTTAGAGAAGGGGTGGGGTGGTAGCTAGAGGGATAGCCACTAACAGGTGTGATCCCTTATGAAAGTCAATAGGAATTTCGCATTTGATTTCAATAGGAACAGGACAGAATTCTAAATGTCAGATGATTAATGATGAGAAACTTCTTAATGCAATCAGTATGGTTTTGATTTTATAGTCTAATTCAAATATATAAAGAGGTTATTTTGGAGACTGTGGATTATTTTTGGAATTTCTCAAAATGAAATGCCAATTTTACTACAGGCAGTCCCCGGGTTACGTACAAGATAGGGACTGTAGGTTTGTTCTTAAGTTGAATCTGTATGTAAGTCGGAACTGGCATCCAGATTCAGCCACTGCTGAAACTGACCGCCAGTTCTGACTTACATACAGATTCAACTTAAGAACCCCAAGTGTCCCCAAGTCATCTGCTGCTGAAACTGATCAGCGGCTGATTCCAGGAAGCCCGGGGCAGAGCAACTCTGCCTCCGGCTTCCTGTAGTCAGCGCTGGTCAGTTTCAGCAGCGGCTAAATCAGGACGCCTGGGGCAGAGCAGCTGGGGTGCTGCTGGGTTGCTC